GATCAAGGTTAATATGCTGCAGAAACACCCTAAGTGGTGGGGTGATACCAGGAGAAAGTTGTATGGTTGCCCCATAAGGAGAAGCGTCCACGATTCCAAACAATTCCCTAGTGGGTCGGTTCACCCTGCGTGCAAGAAATTTGTAGGTACCTAACTCCCAACTGATAGAAGCCATAGCGCTCATGTTGGTTGCTACTTTGGCGAATCCCTATCTGTTTGTGATTCTTACGTCTAGTCGGGGAAGAAGACTTCTCACGTTGTCGTCGTTTGCTTATCTTCGTTCGTCCGCAGTGCGTATCGGATGGCGGCGGCGTAACCCGCGCGTTCAGGTCGCTATCCATCATCGTCGCCCTCGCACCAACGCTTCTTTGTTTCAACTCATCAGACAAGATCTCACATCCTTCATCTTCATTTGGCTATTCAACTTTTTCTATATCCCTTTCGAATCTCCACTGAAATCGGAAGCTTCACTCATAAAGAGCTAAACTGGGCATCAAATTCGCGCATAAGGCAGGTGCGACGAAGCGATAAGGAGTGCGATGTTATCAAGGGAATTCTCGATCTCGAATCGTCCAATCAGGCGTGACAGTTGTCGTGTTGCACTAGTTCGAATCGGTGTTGATTGTAATTGACTGTTAACCTTCGGTATAATGTAACAAGGCGTGACATCACCTACGGAAGAGCCGTGGAATCGTCGTGTGGTACGTGATCGCTACACAGACCACCGGTGACTTGCACACTAACTTCATTGTAGCTTCCACTTGGATCTGATTGGTTACCCGATATGCTCTCGGGATTCCCAAAAAGAATGCGCCATCGAGCTTCTCAGAAAGATGTAGTGAGCCTCTGCTACTCAAAAAATTTATAGATGTGGACAATCGGTGACGGCCATTTATTCACCTTCACCCTCAAAATAACTGACCGATGAGCGAGAACTGAGCTAAGCACTCTTAGCGCAGGTCGCTAACGCTTTCTTCTCCGTTTCAGGTGATCAGCAAGTTGAAGTATACGCTCAAGGAATCACAAATTTTCAAGCAAAAACTTTAATTGGCCACTTATTTCCCCTTTACTGCCCCACCTCTCGGTGAACTTGAGCCGGATTTTTATCGATTGGTCGCTGCTTTTGACTGTGAATTATGGGCCAGAAACTTGTCTTCGGGGTAATTCGACCCGTAGAACACGAATATCACATTTGTTTACCGCTAGAACGCCTGGCGCTCGCGTCAGAAGCGCCGGCGCCAAAAGGCGCCAGAACATCTCGGATCCCCAAATTCGCTGGAAAGTTGTCCTCAGAGGTATTTTGACCCGTAGAATATGATTATCACATCAGTTTGTTACGAGTGAACCTGTAGCCTGCGCTACGAGCGCCCGCGCAAAACTGTTGTGATAGCGCCGGCGCCTGTGGCGCGGGCGCCAAGCGTTTTCGCTCTAAACCGGTATTATATTCGTGATCTACGGGTCAAATTACCCCTGAAGGCAAGTTTCTAGCAAAATCCACAGTCATGGACGAATTTCGATCAAAATCCGGCTCAGTTCTTGAGGAGTGGGGCAGTAAAGGGTAAATAGTGCCCTTATTTGGATATCTCTCAAACGCAGAACTCGATCCGAACACCAGCCGTTTCCCTTATCTCCCAAGATGTGTCAACTTCGCCTTGACACTTTCTACGCACTCCTTCTGAGATTCATAGTACAAGAAAGGGGCCTAAAGTTCCAAGGAGGTTGTTTACTTCTAGTTGTGGCAGAATCGCCTTAGAAAATTGTGATTTTTCGCCCGGAAGCACAGACCGGGTCAGCGGTCATGAGTAGAAGAATAGAATGCAGGAATAGAAATGCTCCCATGCGAACTGCAGAAGGCTTAGCCAAGATCAGTGTACAAAGAAAGAATGCACCCGGGGGGGGCGGGGGGGGCGGGGATCGTCTCGTACCGCCTACAATGGGGAGTTCCCCACTCCCATCGGTACAGGAAAAATATGTGACGCAAAATGTCAATGCCGCTCTCCTTTTAATTATTATTTGGAAATCGCTTCAAGTTCGCCCCTTTGGATAGCGACGTTCTGGCAGATGAACGTCTCCATTCAGTATTGGAAGCTGGTCGCGTAAAGAAAGCCGTTTTCACTCAGCTGGCAGTCAATGGTTCACGCTATTTCATAGACGGAGTCATCGGTGGTCTCATCATTGCCAATGCCAGTTGTTGGCCGGAAGCAGACAGTGGTGGATTCTGCCTCTGAAACATCTGAAACATCCTGGATTTATCGGCACCCGATAACGAAACACCCTCCGCACAAATCGGGTTGCTCAGAGTTAGATCCAGCTCAGACCCCCCGCAGACATTTGTGCCCCTGGAAGCGGCCAGCCAGTGCTCTTAAAGCACACCCACTGTGGCGTCCTTTAATGGTACCATGCGCATTCAAACACTCTTCATGGTCGCTGTTAATGAATCTCGAATGCCCATGGTCTCAGCTCATAGGATGTTTCTCGGATACCACCGATGTATGCTATACGAAGTTATTACACATTACACATACGATGAGTATGTGGCGTTGGGTTGAGCGTATTATTTGTACGGTAGCTTTTGTGAGCTAAAGCCATTTCCATGAAATTTCATAAAAATAGTATTTTATTTACAAGGAAAATTATTAAAAATTGCGGAAAACACCAATAACGAAGAAATATTATTTAAGGAACACATGACAATTGTAACTATCACTATCACACTAGGGTCACCCAGATCTCTGATCGATCGGCTGATTAAAAATCACTACTTTGACAAATGCGCGACACACACACACATGATTCGAATCCGAGATACATAGTAACTGAGCTAGGAGAGGTCTGTAGATGGAGACGCACATAGAAAATCATAACAGCATGAAAAGGGTAGGAAATATTGGTCCCGGACAGAAGCAGGGTTACGGTTGTAGATTTCGAGATCATGGTGAAATGGCATTGTGGTTGTAGAGGTTGTGTGCCATTATTTGTAGAGCCAACGGCGGTCTTTCCGTGGTCACCTTCTTCAGCTTGGCTCGCTTGTTCTGAAATTATGAACATTAGTAATCAAGAAGTACGGGACCCTACTCCTGAAGAACTTCGACTTTAAATTTAGGTACAGGTAAATCGATTAACCTACAAAATGGTGGTTATAAACGTGAAGCTCTAAGCCCTAAGCGAGCTGTAAAAGGTACTCACATCGCTGGCAAGGTACTTTCCGCATTTGAGTGAAGCTTATCAAGGGTCGTCCTGGGACGCACTCGTTCCGCGTACATAGGACTGATAAGGTCAACCGCGCGTTATACAAAAATTAGTGGGGGCTGTATTCGGGTCCTGTGGAAGGTTGTAGTGATGGACACATACTGCGAGCCTAAACACCAAGATGGCGGAGCTGGCTGTCTCACCTTATCTCCACGATTCAAGGAGTAAATGGCCAAGATCCTCGCCGAACCATGGCCCAAAAACGATCTTTCAGCACGCTAGATCGCTTTCACAGTAATCCACATTGGCACTGGGGCGCATAATTGAACCGGAGCATTGATACAAGCGTCCTTCGAACGACGCCCCAGCAAGTGCAATCCACCACAAACTCAGCGGCCTCCTTAACTTGTCCAAGGTAATCTACTTTGAAATGTGACGATTTCTTGCCATCGTGAGCTATAAAATTTCCATCTGTGCCCAGTTCTTCCATCAAGTAGGCGCTTCTGTCTCATTAGGCCCCAAAAATGTTTTAGTGCCTCTGATCGGTACAGTGGTACAAATTTGTACCAACAATTACCTTGTACCCTTAAGTTAAGGGGTTAAGGCAGCTCTCCAAAATCCAAGTATCGTTCGCTTAGCCGCACAAGCGGCAAGGTGGTCCTACAACTCATCGGCAGGACAGCGTCCTGTCATGAAGGCATCTGTTGTGGGGCCTTACGGCTGCATATCCCAACCCCTCGATCATTTTCCCTGAGCAACTCTCTCTTTCAATCATTGGCCATGGTGATCGAACCGATCAATAATTGATTACCCTGAGGCACAAGTCGATTATCGATCGGTGAAATCCCATTTGAATTGGGTTCACGGTTTCATGGTGCGCTTTTCCCTTTCTGCTGAATGAAACATGTTGTCGTCACGGAGGAAGAGTAAGCAATTAAGCGATAGCGATCGCTAAAGAGCGGCTTCTGCCGTGCCGTCGTCGTTGCGGTAAATTCGAATAACTTGAAGGTATCTATTTCGATTCGATTCGAATAGTCAGGCACAGTGGTGACGAATCACCTCCCGGTCACATAAATGCCGATGTCCCAGAACGATATCCCGATACAAGTGCGTATCGTTGCATGTAATCTCTTTTGCCCTTCTGACGGGACATGAGGCCGCCGACTAATCACCGAAAAAACCCGCGACAAGATATGTAATTAAAGGCGGTTTCTTCTACTACAGCTATGCTCATCTGGGAAAATGAATAGGCACTATGACAGATCACCTTTGATAGATGATAGATGATAAGTATACGGTACATCGGTAATGCAGCGACACGAAATGCCCTTGTATTGCCTATAGACCCACGAAAAAGCAGTGGGTCTATAGGCAATACAAGGACAAAGCGAATAATTCTGTGGCCACTCAGGTGTAACCTCTGGGAGGTTAAAAATCAGAATTTGTCTACATAGCCCCCACAGATCGTTCCAAGCGACAGTGACCGCATATCGTTGAGAAGAAAATTCGGGATGCCATTGGCTCTTCGGAAGGATATCCCTCCTTCTTCGGCATAATTGTCTCGACGATTGTGAATTTGTTGTCGTACGCATCGGTTGAGTACACGGCGCATTCCGAAGGTATCGATTGATGACTAGCGCTTGATTTCTCAGCTTGTCCGCTCACAGTGATATGAAAGCGCAATTCTTGGACATATAGCCATAGTCCGGCTGAGTGCAATAGTATAATAAGTCAATGATTTACTTAGGGGAGTGCTCCCAAGGTAAAGAGCTGGCCATCTCGAGCGGAACTTGCCATGCTAAAGAGTGAAAGAATCAGTCTACAAGGTTCTATCTTTACGAACATCGAGAGAAGTGCATCATAGAAACTGCTTTAGGCTCTTGACTTATTACACGTTTCCTCTGGAACGAGAGCTGCCTAGTTTTCGAGTTCCACCCCCTCCCCCCCCCCCGAGAGACGAGATAAAGCAGTCCAGTGCACTGTATGCATATTGAGATTTTTTAGAAAGGAAGAAGAACGGGAGGGAAAAAATCAGGGCTCCATCTAAGGCTTGGCATGGATCACTGTACCGCTATGCAATTTGCACTTCCTTTGAGATGGTAATAGCACTTGAATGAGCCTCTTTACTATCTAACCTGAGCAATGAACGGTCAATTGAGTATTTTATCTATCCATACGAATCTGTCTAAATTTATCTGCCCGCGGAGTAGAAGATTCGTTTGATTGGACTGCATTCAGTCCGAGACTTGATCCCCAGTATGCACATTTTTACTGGCGCCATTTCAAAAGTCGTATTACAGCCCATGTTTCAGAACATTTTTCGATGTTTTTTTTTCAGAATTAACTATGAAAAACACTTTTACGATTACAGCCTAAATAATCACCTGAAACCAGATCTTGATCTGGGATTCGTTGAGACCAAGTTCATGAGCCAATTCTTGGCGCCGTTTTTCAGTGAGATACCTGAAAGTGGAGAACATATATGCAAAATTCAGCCTTTAGATTATTGATCTTCGAAAAAAAGGAATTCCCTATTCTGATGATTCTTACTCTAGAAATTACCTGTTATCGAGAAACTGCTTTTTGAGTCGATCCAGTTGACCGGGAGTGAAAGCAGTACGGGGCCGTTTCTCTTCTTCCGACAGCTCTCGCTTTCTCGGTTTTCGAGATCGTGGACCTGGAAATGAGACTCCCGTTAAAAAGCGATTTTTGTTACCTCCCCTGCTGATTTTTCAGACTGGTTTTTTGAACGAATTCTGTTCTCTAAATATTTTTAGTAAGACGACTCTTTTTCTTCACGTCAAAGAGATGGTCAGCCTGTTCCGAGGGTTTTTAAGTAGCAGATTTTTTGGCAGCGCACTA